ATATTTGCCTATATTTTTCAAGATCAGATGCACAATTCAATCTTAGTCGCTCGTACATGACTGACTAAAGTTTATACTACTTGCAGATACCCATAGGATTTGCATTCTTGATTATCCAAGGATGCTCCCTTATCTTCTGAAGAGAGGGCCGTCTTGAGGAGTCTTTCACCAGGAGCTGCACCAATTTACAGATTGCTGTTAGAAGAACAACTAATATGTTTACTAAATGGATTAGCTTTGGCCAAGATATGAATACTTAGATATGAACATACCCGACTAATAAGATTTTTGGCATCTGAAGAAACAGCAGGGGAGGAAGGGAAGCTTAGGTCAACCTTCATTATCCTACACAAAGCTTAATAAATTACATACGCATTGAAGAGCAACATCTATTTAATTAAACATAAAAGGTCCACACACTTCCTTACCTTTTGAAGGTATCTGCTTGACTCTCAGCCTCAAATGGAGGAGAACCATAGAGGAACTCATAACAAAGGATACCGAGAGTCCAGTTATCAACGGCATGGTCATGAGCTCTGTTTTCAACCATTTCTGGTGCTAAATAATCCAATGTTCCACACATGGTATGTCTTTTGCTACTAGACTGTACAGACCAACCAAAGTCGGCAATTTTAAGACGACCCTGCAATCAAGCCATATTAAGACTTGTTGTACAAGTGTGCTTAAAACCCAAATATAATTAAGTAGCTCCAACTAGCTACCATATCTACAATAGGAAATATTTTCAGTCTGGGATTTCTTTCATATGGATTTAAATTCTGGCTTGGGAGAAGGGTCAGGAAGGGGATAGGAGAAGAAAAGGCAATAAGTTAAGGCGTGAGTAAAGTTTTCAATGAAACATATAACAAAGCTTAAGAGGACAAAAAGTGGGCTGAGGTAGAAAACAGTATTGAAATGAGCAGCAAAATGTATTATAGTTAATATTATGTAATCTGTAGGTATTCAATTTCTTCTGGCTGTATTGCCATAAGTTGACACAAAGTGCAGAAAAAAATAGCTTGCAGAAGAAAAAACAAGGTATAAAGAGGTAAAAGAAAGATAAAAAAAACTATAAGGATATTTTGGCGTACCTCATGGTCAAGTAACAAATTTTCGGGCTTGATATCCCTATGAATAACATGCTTCTCATGACAATAAGCCAATGCCTTTGTGAGGCTCAAAATATACTACAATTTCCAAAATAAACAAAGGTTAGGAGTCAACTGATAAGAGAGTCATGCCTCAAAATGAAAGAGTAGGATGATAAGAATATAATATAATCTCTGCATAGAAGATACTTTTAGGAAGAGTTTGTTTCAAGGTATAATATTACATTCCCAGAAATGACATTAGTTTAGTTAGCATTTAATATTTTCAGGAATAATTTTCAAAATTCAAATGATGGAAAAAAGAAGTGGGAGTGAGAGTGGAAGTTAACAGTTGTGTTACAAGATAACTTCCACTGTCATATTATGGGAAGTCACATACACACCCCTCATCATTGGAATAAAAAACAAGTAAAACATAGCAATGTCACTTTCCTAAGAATGAATAATGTGTAGGAATATTTTTTTAAAGCTTATGCCAAACATGAGAATGTCATCTTTCCCAACTTCACCTTCCCAAGAATAATTTGACAATCTTTAAAACAAACGCACCCTTAGAGATTCCAACCTGTTTTCATGTAATTTCTCTATAATTCCGTAATTTCACATCAAGACCTTACAATTAGTATAGTTGCTGCAATCATCATAAACAACTTATAATTTAATATTTAAAATTTCTTATAAAAGATTTTTGCTTTGCTGTCAATTCAATCTCTTTAGAGATGTAATCAATTTTCTCACAAAACATACAATGGCAGATTTTTGTTCATACTTGGTTTTCTCAAAAAGTTAAAAGGCCAATAATCTCAAGTGATGCATGAGGGCGGGCCTTGAGAAAGCAGTAAGGTTGTTCTTTGTGACCGAAAAGTCATGGATTTGAGTATAGAAAACAATCTCTTTGCAAAAATTATAAGAATACAAGAATAAGATTGGGGTATAATCGACCCTCGCCCCTACCCTCGTAAGTCAGGGAGTACTAGGATTTTCCCTTAATCTCAAGGGATGCCTAGAACCACCTAAAACGTTCATTTTCCAACGAGAAAAACACAAGCTTCCTCCAAAACAAGGCCGGATTAGAGCAAAAATAACAGAGTTAGTCAGAATGGAAGAAGCAAGAAGGACACAGAAGCAAGGAAAAGGTGACAAAGGAAACATAATCTCATGACTCATGACTCTAACCTGTCAAATCCATATCCAAAAAACCAACCTTCATCACATAATCTTCAAAACAGACATACACACACACACACACACACACACACACACTTAAGAAAGGATTACCGTGGCAGCCTGCTTCTCAGTGAGATGACCTTTTTTACTTAGCTCCTTGTAAAGCTCACCGTTATGAGCATATTCAAGAATCAAGAAAACACGTTCATCGTCATGAAACCAACCATAGAGTCGCAGGATGTTCGGGTGGCGAAGACCGGATTGTATCTCCATCTCTCTCCTTAGTTGATGTTGAATTCTGTACTTTTCAATTTGTTGCTTAAAAATAACCTTCAATGCCACAATATATTTGCTCTGAACACACACACACACACACACACACACAAAAACCATTGGCAAAATAGAAAGCAAAATCTGCACCTCCCGTAAGTATCAAAGATAAATATTTAAGTAATTGTTGCACATAGATTTACTTAATTTTGAATAAATCAATTATTTAGCAAAGGGACATTTTAAATTTTTTTTTAATTACTTGAAAACCTATTTATTTATAACATAGATGGAGAAGTTGAAATAACCATGTCCGATGATTTATAAAGAAATGAAACGTAGAAACATTGATGTGTGAAGCGTGAGTTAGGAACCTTGATCTCTCTGGCGACGTATACCCTGCCGAATTTGCCTTTGCCGAGAGGTTTACCGATCTCGAAGTCTGCGAGGTACCACTTCCGATTTGAGTTGTCTTCTTCCTCCGGTGGGTTTTGGGAAGCCATTTTCGGTGGAATCAGAGATTGAAAAAGGAAAAAGAGATGAACGGAATTTGAATTTGTTCAAAGGCGCCTAAACTCAAATCAAGCCATTTTCTGGGAAGCCATTTATTTTATTTTATTTTTATATTATATATCTCAGAGCCCCATTCTCTCTCTTTTTATTTTATTTTTTCGGAGTTACCCAACTCTAATTATCTCTTTGAGACGAGTTGGCTCCCTCCGGTATCCCCACGAACTTCGACTCTTTGAGCCAGCTATGGGACTATTCCGGAGCCACGTTCTGTCTCTTCAACTGTATACATAATTCTTCTAAAATATTTATTAAAAAAACTATCCATATATAAAATTATATTAAAAGTATAGTATATTGTAACTAATTTTTTAATGATAAAAGTCTTAGATTATATTAAAAAATCAGATTATTTCGATAGTAATATGAATTAAAAAATAAATTTTAACTCAATAAATATTTCATGAGAAAGATTTTTTACTATATCATATTCTATAAGTAACATTTTTTATATTTTTTTTTTTTTAAAAAAATGGAGATGTACAAGATTGCATCCAGAAATTTTGCTAAGATTGTGCCATTACATGCCAACAATTTTCCTCACCAACAGAAAAGTAAAGACTTGTACATGACAAAAGGTAAAACATAGTAACAGCTCGTTTGGATTGGTTTTTTAAAAAAGAGACTTTTTATGAGTTACTTTTTTAAAAAGAATTTTTAAAAAAAATTAAAGTTATTTTATATTTGGATGCGATATTTAAAAAGTGTTTTTAATTAAAAATGTCATTTGGATGTTAAAATAAAAAAGCACTTTGTAAACGTAAAATGACTGTTGTACCCTTAAAAAAATTCCCTTTTTCTCAAAAGAATCCCCCTTCAAGATACACAGTCGCCCTCCTCGATCTAGAAGTGCTCTGTTTTATATTGGTGAGGCTGGTTTTCAGTTGATACACCCTTGGTGCATTCTCCACACAGTACCATTTCCTTAGATCATCCCAAAGTTACATTGCAAAAGCAAAATATTGTATGTAGGGTTGCAGCGTTGGATATGTGGTGTTATAGATCCAGCCGGTTATCATGGAGTTCACAACAATCCACGCTCTACCTTCATCAGAAACTATGTCTCTTGGTTTCCTAATAGCACCGGTAATGAAATCGAGTTTGTTCATGGTCAGATAACTGTTATTGCTTGAATCTACCATGTTGATGGTTCTGCGCATCAAAGAAAATCATTGTTTCTGGATCGTCAGGTGCTTTGATTTGGTCGAAGAAAGGATGGGTAAAATTGGATTAAGTGATTTAGGGTTGCTTCTGGCTTGTGCTTTTTTCAGAAGTCAAAAATTTTAACTTCTCACAAAAGTAAAATTTTAGCTTTTTTATTAACTTCTCCATTTCTTAAAAGTTGATATCCAAACAGTATAAAATTTTTAAAAGAACTTTAAAAAAAATAACTTTTGCAATGGGAGAAGCCCATCCAAACAAGCACTAAGCCATCAGTGTTAACTAATGGTGAAAGATGTGGGTAGTTATGTAATAAGTTATGTATTGAATTCTTCAATGTATCCACACAAAAAAGAGGTAAAACATATTGAGAAAATCACTATGCCCTATGTTGGGTATACTATATTCCCCGACAAATTTAAGACTTGCATCAACTTACTGAAGTATCACTTCCTCATTAATCATGGATAAACCATGGATCCCACTTACTTTACTAGAAGAATCAAAAATTGATGGTTGATCAAATATGAAAAGGTACACGAGAGACCCGCCCTTCGGCCAGGTATTCAATTAATATTAGTTACCATCGTCTATCTTCATTATATTTTACACGTCTTTCTTCCTTGTCTTATATGTCTATTCCTAAGACTACGGGTGAAGAACTTTCACATTTCGAATGGAAGAAATAGGCTATGATTGATGAGATGAGTGCTCTTTAGTACAATGGCACTTGGGATCTGGTCCTTCTTCCGTCTGGGAATTCTGTTACTGGTTGCAGCTGGATTTATGCTGTTAAGGTTGGTTTTGATGGTCAAGTAGATTGTCTTAAAGCTCACTTGATGGAGAATGGTTTCACTTAAGTGTTTAGACTAGATTTTAGTGACACTTTTTCTCCTGCGGCGAAGATGTCTACTGTTCGTCTCTTTATTGCCATGGCTGCTATCCGCTACTGACCTCTTTATCAACTTTATATTCAAAATATTTTTCTTCATGGTGATTTTGCAGAGGAATTTATATGGAGCAACCTCCTGGATTTGTTGCTCAAGGTAAGTCAGGTCTTGTTTGTCGTCTTCGCAAGTCTCTATATGGTCTCAAGTAATCTCTAAGAGCTTGGTTTGGCAAATTTAGCAGTGTTGTTCAACAATTTGGTATGACTCGGAGTGAGATCACTCTCTTTTATTGTCATTCAACTTTCAGGTCTATCTTCTTGGTGGCATACTTGGATGATATTGTCATCACATGTAGTGATAATCATGTGATTACTCAGTTGAAGCGGCATTTACGTTATCATTTTCAGACTAAGGATCTTGGGAAACTTCAATATTTCTTGGAAATCGAGGTGCCCCAATCTAAAGATGGAGTTGTGATATCTCAGAAGAAATATGTTATGGATATTCTTGAAGAGACTGTTCTGTTAAATTCTAAGTCTATTGATACTCCTATGGATCCAAGTGTCAAGCTTCTACCAAATCAGAGGGAACTCTTTTCAGATCTTGAGAGGTATAGAAGATTAGTTGAAAAACTGAACTACCTCACAGTCACTCGGCCTGACATTTCATTTGCAGTGAGTGTGATAAGACGGTTTCTTAATTCTCTATGTCAAGAACATTGGACGCCGTCATTCGTATTTTAAAGTATATCAAGGCATCTCCAGGAAAAGGCCTTGGATATGAAGATAAAGGTCATGCTAAAGTTGTTGGATGCTCTGATACCATGTTAAATAACAAGAGACGAAAGAAACATACAAAAATAAATTTGTACATTGAATTGATACAGGATAGTACAATATACAAAAGAAACACTAATAGGCTTAACCCAAACCTAATCCAAATCCTAATGAAATAAAGAAACAGATATTTACAAACAATACAGATATTCTTTCTAATAATAAAGATATTTTTTCCAACAATAACCATGCAATTTGTTCATGAGTTTCCTTTTCTTTTCTTTTTTCCTTTTCTTTTTTTTTTTTTTTCAGTTTCTTGAATGAACTTTATTCTTGGTTTGACCATCATTATAACAGGCATGTGCATGGGGGCATTTTTATGTTAGCATAGGAAACCTCAAACGTGGTAGATGTAAATATATTGACCATTGAAAGAGGAGTGTGTACTTCGATGGACAATCCAAAATGGGACAGCATAAACAAAGAGACTATTTTGTTCACCATGAACATCAGATCATAGACATTATTTTTTATTTCTGATAGTGCTAGACATCTTCAAACAAGGTATGCCAACTCTTACAATAGGGGCAAACCAAGCTACAAATTACCAATCTAAATGAAATTACACAATTTCAAGTGCAGAATTTTAGATGAACCAACCATTACTGATTGCCCTGCAAGTTGAACCCCAAGCAAGCTGCAGAGAAGAAAAAAAAGAATTTTTTTTCGTAATTAAAACTTTAAGCTCCATCCTAAATGTGACTAGAATTCGATTCTCTGGTTTTTATCACACAATATTAAATTCAATGGGAGAGCTCTTACAACATCCAACTTAAGTCCATCAACCCTAGTTCTGATTTTTTTTTTTTATGGTCCTAATTACTTTTTTAAGACAACTTAAATATGGGACTAGTTCCAAATCAAGCAATATGAAGATTATCCAACCTGGCCCAAATGTCGTCTCTAGGATTAGAACTATGGAACTCAAGCAACACCTCGGGATTGGCTAATACTATATTCAAAACCAAATTATTGGCTTCTGGTACGGAGGACACGTTAAAATGGTCATGTTTAATGTGATGTATAAAACTTTATAATATAAGTTTATATTATATGTTATATATTTTTAGTTGTTTAATGTAATTATCGTATGGTATAAGCTTATACAACATGATCCTTTTATAAATTAAAATGATGTATAACTTAATCAGGCCTAAGAGAATGAGATTAAGCCTGATAAGGGGTTGATGTATTAATCAATGTAATTTTCAAGAATAAACATATTATTTTAATATTAATATATTAAAATAAAAAATATATATAAATTTTTAAAAAATTGAAAATTTTTATTTTTATAAAAATTAATATATTTTTGGACACACTGATTAATAGATTTATATAAAAATTAATATTATATGACATATTCAGAAGAATTATAGAAATTCTTTATTAAAATATATTTTTGTCAAAAATATTTATTTTTATTCTATTTATTATTATACAGTGCATTACCAAACACTACATGATATTATCTCATATAATATATTATCTTATACAATATCTGCCATAGTATTAAAATTTAATCAAATCTTATATAATCAAACCTTATATTATCAGGTCTTATATTATCATGTCTTATCTTATATTATGTTACAAATATCCCCTAAATATATTAAACGTTCTTCCCATCCCAATGTTATCATTCCTATTAACCAATGTTATCGCAGGTCATGACCGGCCGTGAGAATTGATGTTATCAATCTTTTAACGCATCTAGGACTGTTTCATAAGATTTTATTGGTAATTGACTCCAGCACACCAAATGAACTTTGATTCCCACATTTTTCTTATCAACCTTCTTTTGATAAGCATCAGTAGTTGATGGCTTTGGTATCTCAACCAACCGTGAACTTTATCTTCGGAACACCAGTACTTAAATTATGTGGTCTATGTTCCCAAACTTTAAAATATCATAAGCTTACCTGAAGGCCAAAATTGTGCATTAACTTTCAAAATCTTATCACTTCCGATAATTTAAAGTTATTTAAGTAACAGAGACTAATACCTCAATATGAAAACTAAAAGAAAAATCTTTAGTATCATCTAGTTCTGTTACTCTCCTCAAAATCTGGTTTCATTGTTGAAGATCCTCTTTTTATCCTTCGTTAACTCTCTCTCTCTCTCTCTCTTAATTCCAATAAGCTTGTTTTCCAATATTTCTAGCATCAAATGATTTGTTTCATTTAGCCCAATTGTTAATTTCTCATAAAAAAGCAAAATCAAAATGTCCCCATAATTAAGAACAAATTGAAAAAACTACTTACATATACATTTCAATATCGACCGAAGTATGTCAATAAAAAAGGTTGCAATATTCTTAAAACACACAGCATTATTGGTGGGCCGTTTGGAGGAATCTTGATATCTCGAGTAGTGCTCTTACACAGTTTCAAAGTTAGAGACTTCGAGTATGTTTGATTGTGCTTTAATTTTTTTTATTCAAAAAACTGTTTTGTAAAATAATTATAAAAAAAGTTATTTTTTATATTTTTTTTTATTCTCTAAATTTGATCCTAAAAACAAAAAAACAGTTACAATTTTTAAAATTTTTTTTACAAAACAAGTTTTACCAAACTAATTTTTTTTTTCTTTTTTCTAAAAACTAAAAAACTGTTTTTGAAAACAGTATTCAAACAAAGATTATCTTTTTCAGAGTTGGCTCTGTAATAATCTTGAAATGAAGCCCGAATAGTTGGAGAGGGATAATATAACTTCGAAAGAAAGAAAGAAAGGTATGTCCGTTTGTGGTAGTGATAAAAGTTTCTCTTGTTCTTCCAAAATTTGGTGACGGCATGTAAGTAATCAAGTGCCTGATTTTAGTTGTATTCATTAGATATTATATGATACCAAAAAACCTGAGAATCTTGAAGGAAGCAGATACTACATAATGGAAGAGCAGCATGTTTCTGTGAAGCGTAAAACGAAATTAAACAGACCCATAATTCAACACAGCCAATGCGAACTGAGAAAGCAGAGCGAAATTAAAAACTTTTATTCATAACAGAAAAGTATTAACATTGTCAAAGAGATAGAAATTCATAAAACCAAACAAAGAGCATCATGTACATTAAACATCCCCACCACGGAGCCTGAGGACAAGGTGAAGCGTAGATTCTTTCTGAATATTATAATCAGCAAGAGTTCGTCCATCCTCAAGCTGCTTTCCAGCGAAGATGAGACGCTGTTGGTCCGGTGGAATCCCTTCCTTATCCTGAATCTTCGCCTTAACATTATCAATCGTATCAGAACTCTCCACCTCAAGCGTAATCGTCTTTCCAGTTAGCGTCTTCACGAAGATCTGCATCCCGCCACGGAGACGAAGCACAAGATGAAGAGTCGACTCCTTCTGGATGTTGTAATCCGCCAGGGTCCTTCCATCCTCCAATTGCTTCCCTGCGAAGATCAATCGCTGTTGATCTGGGGGAATTCCTTCCTTGTCCTGAATCTTCGCTTTCACGTTGTCGATCGTGTCGGAGGACTCCACCTCCAAGGTGATGGTTTTGCCGGTTAGGGTTTTCACGAAGATCTGCATGTTGATGATGATGATGATTTGCGTTTAATGAATAACAGAGTATTCAGAGGTTGGGAAGTAAGGGATGAATGGTAACGAGTTTAAGAGAGGGTTGTTTATATAGACTTAATGGAAGAATCCAGAACCTTGGGTGAGGAAGCAACCAGGAAAGGAGGAGTAAGTAAAGAAAAGAATCATGTTCTTGGGTCGGTCTAGAACATTCTAGGAGTCAATTGTGTCACCTAATGACGTGGCGTTTTCACCTACGCAAACACAGAGACTTTGACCAAAGTAACACGTTTTGAATAATAAATTATTGATATGCCTCGCTCAATTTTGATTTTTCCAAAATGCCACACTCAATCCCGCTACACGACCAAGCGAGATTAAAAGATGACATGTGGCGTTCAACCATGGAGACCCATTCTCGCTGGTCTGACAAGCTGGAATCGTTTGTCAATCAACCAGTCTGCACACTCTGAAAAGCAAGACACGTGTCACCCTCATACCATTCGCGCTGGTCAGTATAGCTGTATTGGTTGTACGTTCAGTAAAGCAGGCCACGTGTCACCATACCACCATTCACGCTGAGCAACCAAGCTAGACTTGGTATACCTTCAGACACGTGTCAGCATCCCCTGAATCGCGCTGGTCTGCCTAGCTGGTTTGGTCGTACTTTCCATACACGTGTCATCACCCCCTTATTCTAGCTAGGCGGCCTACCAAGTTTGGTTCTTCTATAAATAGTAGCAAAACATGAAACATCCAGTAACCAGAAGAAGTAAAAAAGGGTGCGCCAAAATTGCGAAGGTTAGATTCTATAATTATATATTTTCTCTTGTAATTTTATGTTATTAGTTAGAAAATGAGTGACGGTAATGATTCAGTAATTGCTTTGTTATATTACAATCGGAGAAAATATTTGGGTCCAAATGGCCAAGTTTTCGAAGGAGAAACGAAAATATTTCGTATGAGCTCGCGGTGTAGTTTTAATGAACTAAAGAAGACAATATATCAGAAGCTGAGATTACAACGAGGCCAAGTTTTATCTCGGTTGACTGCTAGATGTGCCTCTGGACCTGAAAGTTGGGTTCCTGTAGAGATCGTTGAGGATGAAGATGTTGCTTTAGTGGTAGATGCATTTCGAAATCATTCACACTCCACATTTATTGAACTATACGCGGAAGTAGACTCCAGTGGACAGTGTAGCAGTCAACATTTTCTCCCTTCCACTCACTCTATCGACATTAATATGGAGCCGGTTATGAGTCCGCAATATTCTCTCCCTTCAATTAACGTTATTGACATTAACATGGAGCCAGTTGTGAGTCCTGAAGACAGAAATGTGTCACCTGAACCACCCCTTCCCGAACCAATGTGTGCTGAATATGATGTTGCTCACGATATGTATGATCCGGCATGACGTACTGACAGTTCCATCGAAGAGGTGGACGAAGGGTTAGTCCCGGGCAGTGACTCTTCGGACACCGACGTGGATGGAGATTTTGATTCATGTCCGTCCACCGCTGTGTGTTATGCGGTTCCTTCTCCGGGCATTGTTGGAACGCACGAGCCCAGAGTGGCAGGTTAGTAAATATAACAATATATACTCACGTCATGGTTGCGCAGCCGCGCAACGTGGAAGAAACCCGCCTGCCTCAAGTATGGATGAATCTCCTGAGGAATGTGCATAGGATCGTGTGTGGCCGCCATCCTCACATTAAGTCGTCGATCTGGCACACCATTCCACACGTATGTAAATATGTGCTTATCTTGTAATGTCAGGAGAGACGGGTCAATAGGCCCGGGTGTAATCAACCTACGAGGAGAGTCGGGGGGATCCGGGAGGTGTAGGAGCATGGTCCTCATGGGGCGGTGAACCGTGTAGTGAATCAGGTGGGGATGCCATGAACCTATAATAAAAAATTTACATTTTTATCCTATAATTTTTTATTAACGCTACTGATAAATTAAATATAGATACAAAACGTAATTGCAAATTACGATAATTAACAATCCCTAAATAATATTAAACTAATTATTGTAATTAACATTAACAATGTCTCTTATCCTATAATTTTTTTATTAATAAATACTAATATTCACAACAATATTAAAAAAATACTACCCAAATTACTAATTACAATAATTTTAAATCGTAAAATTTACTTATTCTACTAATTTATATGATAAAAATAATTAAATTTTGATCCTATATTTTTTTTATTAACAAATGCTACTAATTAAAAAAATATTAAATTTAATTGCAAAATCTAATTACTAATTACGATAATTAACAATCCCTAAATGATATTCAACTAAATATTAGAATCCACATTAACAATGTCTTTCATCCTATAATTTCTTTATTAATAAATCCTTATAATCACAACAATATAAAAAAACATTACTATCCTAATTACTAATTACAAAAATTAACTCCCCCAAAATTTACTTATTCTACTAATCTATATAATAAAAAAATAAAAAACTTTTATCCTATAATTTTTTATTAACAAATGCTACTATTGAAAAAAATTAAATTTAAATACAAAATGTAATTACTAATTAAGATAATTAAAAATCCCTAAATAATATTCAACTAAATATTAATATTAACATTAACAATGTCTTTGATCCTATAATTTCTTTATAAATAAATCCTAATAATCACAACAATATAAAATTATTACTATCCTAATTACTAATTAAAAAAATTTACTATCCTAAAATTAACTAATCACAACAATAAAAAGTAATTACATTTTTATCCTATAATTTTTTATTAACAAATGCTACTATTGAAAAAAAAAAAATTAAATACAAAGTCTAATTACTAATTACGATAATTACAAATTCCTAAATACTATTTAACTAAATATTAATATTAACATTAACAATGTCTTTGATCCTATAATTTCTTTATTAATAAATCCTAATAATCACAACAATATAAAATCAATACTATCCTAATTACTAATTAAAAAAATTAACTAACCTAAAATTTACTTATTCTCCTAATTTATATAATAAAAAAATAATTATATGTTTATCCTATACTTTTTTATTAACAAATGCTAATACTAACAACAATATCAAAATTAAATACTAAACTAATTTACTAATTCTAATATTTAACTACAACACAAAATTAACTTATAACTACTACAATACACATGCTGATAATTAAAAGCAAAAAAAAATTTAAATATAAACTACTAAGCTTGCTGTGGTCCGCCGCCGAGAGAGAGAGTTTTGAGAGAAGAAAAGTTGGAAAGAAGAAAAGTTGAAAGTGATGGGGTGGGGTTGGGAGTGGGATTATATAGGCCCACATATCTCGCTTTACTGACAAGCGTGAATAAGGAGAAGCAATCATGCGTCCAACATGCGTCAGGAAGTCGTACGATGTGTACCATTCTAGCTGGTCTGACCAGCGCGAATGGTGAGAACATGACACGTGGAGAACTTTTCAGTGTCTGATTGACAAGCCATTCTAGCTTGTCAGATAAGCGAGAATGGGGCTCCATGGTTGACCGCCACGTGTTATCTTACAATCTCGCTTGGTGATGTAGCAGGATTGCGACGTGGCATTTTGGAAAATTTGAAATGAACCGTGACATACTGGTAAAATATTATTCAAAGTGTGTTATTTTGGTCAAACTCCCCGCAAACACATACATAATGCATATTGGATAGTTGTATACACATGAAAAAAAGTTGAAAATAGTAAAATCATAATCACAATAAGAAAAATTAACGTCTTTTTTTATAAAAATAAAATAAAATCACAAAAGTAATCTTTATAAAATATAATTTGCATCACCTATGTGTAAGGTGGCTAGGATATGAATGTTATATAACCTATGTGTTTTAAGAAAAGAGTTATATTTACAATTCTAGTAAGTTTTAAATTATAAATGCTGAATGGAATATAACAAGTAATATTTAAACAAAAGAATGGAGGAATTCTTTCTCTCTCTTTTTTATATAGATGGTGATACTCAGATTTAAATCTATGAACTCGTACAAATTATTTAAATCCTCACTACTAGATTAATCCTAATAGTTTTAGAAAAATTCTTTTTTTTTTTATATACAAATGGTGATACTGAGATTTAAACCTATGATCTCGTATAAACTATCTAAACCTCTCATCATTACATCAATACTAAAAACTTTAGAGAAATTCTTTTTTGTATCACTATCTTCAGTTGGTCTAATGTTAGCTCCATTTTTTGTTTCGGCATGAAGCCAAATCCTAAATAATGTAATTTTATTTTATTTTTATTATTTTATGCAAAAAAAAAAAAAAAGAGTCTATAACTATCATGAAAAAAAAAAAAAAATTAAAAAAACCACTAAAATTAATCTAGTGAAAAATAATTTGAGTAGATTAATAAGTTATATGTTCAATTCTCACTTATATAGGAAAAAAAAAAAGCCAAAAAAACTGGACCGAAATCCCGAATAAAAGTTTACCAACACACATTGCATTTCTCTTCTTTGATTCTTTCCTTATTTTATTAGACGCAGCAGCAGGTTGGACACCGAATAACCGAAGTTTACAACATAAATGGCATTTCTCTTTTCTGATTCTTTGCTATGTCCGTGACTCATGCTAAATTGTAATTTGCAAAGTTGACAGAGCCTTTAATGACCTTGTCAAGGTTTGACCTAATCAACTCTAACAAGGGAGCACAATAATTTCAAGGCTTCAAGTAAATGAGATTGAAGCCAAAGCCACCAACGAATCCATTGATATTGAGTAGCATTCCTATTACAAAATATCCAAAGGAAGTTTGTTTCCTCCACCGTGAGGAATATCCAAATATATGTACAAAATGATACACGATAATCTAAAGTAGAATGAATAAATTATTTATTTATCCTTCGTATCATCAGGCAAAGCAGAAGCTTTGCAAATAGGACATATGTTTTTCATAGTTAACCACTTTCTAATGCAGCTCACATGGTATTCATGACTACAAGTTTTCAGTGTCCCAACATCGTCCATGTTCTTGTATTCCTCCTGTAATTTTCAATAAATAACAGTAAGCACATAATTAATTACCTCCAAAAACACCTAAAGTTTTTCACAGATAAAAAAGACAAACAAATTCATATAGGGAAAGATGTCAAAATTGCAAAATAAAGCAAACCTGGGATGACATAGAAGTAGAAATGCGTTCAATAACAAAATTACAAATTACAAAATATAATACCCTGATGTGACTCTACAGAACAGGAAACAAAGAAAAATGAAACTTCCCATCAAGACCTCGTCCTCCCCATTCCCACAAAAAAAGAGAAGTGCAATATCAACCAAGGGTTTGTTTTTTCTGACGTTACTTTAGATAACTTTATCTAATGTTCATCAAAACGACGTTGTTTTGGGACGGAAATCATGGTATTTTTGTAATTTTAATTTATTTCAGGGTTATAATAGTCTTTATCACTCTAATTTTTTAATTTTTCAACCCCAAAATAATGTCGTTTCGATGAACATTAGATAAAGTTATCTAAAGTAACATCGGGAACTTTTTTCCCATCAACTAAAGCACAAAATCCCTTTAATAAAAGAAGTCCAATTTTGCTCTGGCATAAATATTTACATAATTAATAATGGACTTTCAGTGATGCAATGTGGTTGTCTTGTCAGTGCCACTCTATATTATCTAGGGCAAATTACATTGAACCACCCTCTACTTAGGGTCACTTTCAAAAAAAAAAAACCTTTACTTTCAATTCAAACAATTAACTCCCTTCTACTATCAAATCATAACAATTAAACATGTTTAATAACTTTAAGACAAAAATATCCTTATATCCATCCTAACAGCAAACCCTGTTGCTCTAACCACCCTTCACCATCATCGGTTAATGTCTTTGTTGTTAACCATTACCCGTCACTTGTAACTATTCATTACTAGAAACTACTAGCCATAGCCGGCCAGTAAATTCCTTATCATCGTACTTATTCTGTCGCGCCAATGTGGGAGCAAGTAAAAAAGAACACGAGCTTTGTTGTTGTCCAAACCAAACCCTTGTTCTCTAGACGACCATGACCACCTCTTTCGTTTTGATTTGAGTTAAAGTTATTTTATTTCTTCATTTTCTCTCAAAATCTCTTTTCATCTATAGAATTCACAATCACAACCCTCTCGATAGGATTTTTCCTTTTATATATACATATATATAAAATTGATTTTCTGGTATAAGACAAATCAGGTTTCTGTTCTCATCATTCAAGTGTTGCTTAATTTCAGTTTTGAGTGTTGTTTTTTCCATCAACATTCTTTCAAAGTTAACTTGCCTTTTTATTTTTAATTTTTCTCAGAACTGTCTACCTTTTTACTTGTGCATAACGCACTGATGGCGAGTTGAGAATGGTGACCAACAATTAGGTGATGATAGAAGAAAAAGGGTATTTTTGTCATATAATTATTAAATATGTTTAATTTGTCTGATTTAATAGTACAAGGGGGTTAATAGTTTGGATTGAAAATGTAGGGTGGTCTTTTGAAAATGACCCTAACTACAAGGTGGTTTTATGAAATTTAGCCTATTATTTATTCTGAATGGCAGAAGGAAACATACCAGACAAATTGCACAAGTTCCTTCTTCTTGACTTAGCTCAGACGAACAGTATATTGTTTCTCTCAAACACTTGGAAATCAAATCCTCAGATACTCCTATACTCACATGGCCAATTCGCTCTCCAAGTGCAAGTAGTTCCTGGTCGAGCCAAGCATCCAAATAATTAACAAAATTCGATAGTACATAATTTTAAGTATAACACAAGAAACAATAATAATTACCTCGTAGCTCATGTTGTCTATGTCCATTCTCATGTCTCTATGCTGATCAAGCACATTCCTAGAACCATACAGTGAAGCACGATCAACAATCATGAAACCCTGCAAGAACAATAAAACCATATTTGAGTGTATAACACCTAAAAACAAAAACAAACAATATTTGAGTCTGCCACTAGCCAGAAACAACAATCTTGCTGATATTAATGAACATTGCAACTAGTCCACTCACAAAGGATTATATTGGAACCAACACGCCTAAAATTTTCTAGCTAACCAACATCTGAATTTAAAGTTATAATTAAGATGTTGCATGGGCAAAAACATGAACACAAGTTCCAAACATTACACACAAGAGCAAAGGTCTTGAGAATTGAGATACTGATAGATACCTCAGAGGAAAATCGATCATTGAGACCAATCTCATTGGCCAATGATCGATATCTATCACTAGATATCCTTGACCTCCCATTTCTATCACTGTTACGCCAGCCAATGGTGGTCAATGGCCTTGGATGCCTAGAAGAGTAACTTTCAGCAACCATATGCAATCCATCATCTGAAGGTGTCACATGTCCCAAGCGCAAGCTTGAAGAAGCCCTAAAAGTTGGAGCGGATCTTTGAGAATAGTTACTGCGAACTCCCCTAGCAGATTGAGTCAGATTATTATGAAAACTTTGAGGAGCAGTAGGATTTCTGCTTGTACCAAATTCATGATGGAAACTCCCAACATCTACAGGAGCATTACTAGAACCACTTCCAACAAGGAAATGACTTGTCTCATGACTAAAAGCATTTGCATCTGCATTTTAACCCAAAGATCACTTCAGACATAAAGTAAAGGAGAATGTAATGGGTGTGTCTGTACTAATCTTAACTACAAACTAACCTGATGATAACACCCTACCATGAGCAGGACACATACTCATTTGGCTCCAATCCCTCGTCAAAGTGCTAGAAGTTTGAGTTGATAGATCGACCGTGCCAGAATGGTCAATTGGTGGGCCAGTAGTGTATGAGTTGTGTGAATGATTGCTCGATAAATGAGTCCTAGCCAGGTTAGACTCCAAATCAAGTGCAGAACGGCTCCTCACATTCCTTAAAGAGCCCTCATCCCTTATTGAAAGGCCACTACCTCTGAAAGCGGGTGTCATAGTAACATGATCCCAAGGCATATATAGAGAATCCATATTTGGCTTCTCTGGCCGTATTTCTGAAGGTGTAGGAAAATCAGCTGCACTTCCAGTATTAAAGTATCTGCTTGTACTGCCTCTCTCACAGACCGGAGGAATTCCAGGACTCTTCCTCTTGTGAGGCCCTCGTCCACTTCCCATTGTAAGATCAATAAAACCACCATCACCAACAGGGAATGCTTGTCTGTCATAATTGGAATTAGAAGGCTGGTGTACATAATTTTCAGACACTGCAAAGAAAGTTCCAGCACTTGATGAGTGCAGAAAATGTTCATTATTAGTGCCTGATGCATCTGATTGATGAGGGGGTGCTTCAATGTTGAGACTTGAGGATGCATATCCATTTGACCTTGTCGCAGAGTTCCAATGAGATGGAAAAGAAATGCCATCTATGGACATATTTTCCAAAGGATAAATGAAAGAACCATTGTCTGTAGTGCTAGTCCTACCTGCAATACAGGTCCAATACAATTGATATGGTGTTGATGCAAGCAAAGAAATATTTACCATTAAAAAATGACAAATGAACCAAAATACAAATGGAAATTCATTTAGAGTGACATTACCAAGGGGCACATAATGTTGATCAGTATGCATATGATTCCAGTTCTGGTCAGGTTCACTCTCAAACAATGGAGATTTGTTATATAAATGTCTATGCCCCATAATAACTCGCTTGCAATGTCGGGAGTCAAAATAGACAGTGTAGTTAAGTTAGAACAGCAAATAACTCAACCTGCAAGGCGAAAGAGCATCTGAAGAATTCAATATCAAAATGCAAAGTTAATTCAAAACAATTAAGAAACAACATTTGTAAGACTATCGTCCATCCATGACTGCAGCATGTGAAATAACAACACCAAAACAAAATAAATACTCAGTTGCATCGTATCTAATCTATTCTAATTCCAACACTGCATTGAAACTGTGGACCCTGCATTGTCATGTCAATACGTACCATACACATTACTCAAACAAATCCAGTTAAAATATTTTTTTGAAAGAAAATCATGTTGCATAGTCTAAGGACTTGTCTGGATGCTAAATTCAATTTAAACACTTCAAGTAACAACCCAAACAATGCATATAGAGCTTTGAGCAAGTTACAATATGTATAGTCAAGACTAGAGAATGAACCTCTTTTACTAGTTGTTAGGAGATATTTGCAATGAGGGAGAAGGAACAGAAGACAACATATATGTTATATGCAAACACGTGTGAGATGAAAGAGTCAGAAATCAGAAGTTGCAACTATGCAACATAACCTTTTTAGAAACAAATAATTATCATAATCAAAAAATGAAAGTAGCAGAAGGTATAGTCTTGCAAGGCAAAGGAGTATAAACTCTATTACCCAAAATTAGCATTCAGTGTAAGTACAGTCTTACTAGTATTAGAAAAAAGTACTCCTACAATTACATCTAGCCTGACCTTCCTCTTCCATTTACAGCATATACAACCACCACTTCCACTTCCACATATATACACCAATAGAAAATTCCTTAGATTACTGATATATTATTCATCAGTTTTCACCATTTGCCATTCAATCCTTTACAAGCCAAAAGAATCTAGGCCTACAGAAGACCTCCTAGCTTGAGACTTCATGTCCAGCTGCCAAGAATACCAAAGAAAAGATCGAACGGGTAAATAAGAAGTAACTAACTGATATAGGAGCTCAATGGATATCAAGATGATGTGTTTAATCAGCCAAGAGGACAATACTCACAGCATGAACTATATTATATCTATGTTATTGTTCCAATTACCACCAAAATTGCATAAAAGATGAAGGTTTACAGCCCTGGTGAATTAGAATGCCATCGATAGGCATGCACGAAAAGAGAAGCATGACTACCAGCAACGCAACAATTTGACCATAGGGGGAGAATCGCCACTGGCAACTATTTATGAAGGAGAATATACGCTTCAGATTATCAAAGCTGGGGAATTCAGAATATACTGACAGAAACTAGCCTGTAAAACACTAAAGAGTTGCTACTCATTATCTCCTTAACCATCATAAACACCAAGAGCCTCAGTAAGTTCAACCACTTGAAGCCAAACTAAGATTGCCTCTCTCCATTGACACAGGAAGACCACCTTCCAGTCTGAGGTAAGAAAATAAAGATTAGGGAAAATGGGAAGTAGTGAACACACGCTAGGGAGAAAAAATAACAGCTGATATTTAAATAGATGGACGATGGTTCCTCACTCTAGTTTATCATGTGTAGCAGCAAGAGTTCATATACAACTTAAAAAGAGGAATATTGGAAGTAGGATAGCTCAAGCAACAGACTTACCTGGCAAGGTTTAAAAAGGATCACTCAGCAAGTGTTAGCATTTTCTATTCTTTTCCTGCACTTGAAAAGGATAATCAACTATGCAAAAATCGGGCACAAAAGGGAAAGTCCCATATGTGCCCTCTAATCAGTGTACCAGGTAAAAGTCACAGAATATTTGAACTACAAAGACAATTTGTTTTTGAAGGGGAAAGACAGGAAAAGGAAAAACAAAAGCAAATGGAGTGAACTTTGCATGAACAAAATGAAAGGTTTAAAAAGGATGTATACTTTATCAGAAAAGCTAAAGGATGAATGTATTGGTAATAGCACAAACAAGTTCACCCTGTTTATCTTATAAAAAGCATAACAAAATCTGAAAAAAAATAAAAAAATAAAAAAGCTACCAAAACTAGACAGCAGTTGTTACTACAAGGAAATGAAGTGCCTTCCATATATCAAAAAAGATTTAAGAGCCAGCACCATCTACTTCCAAAACTACTATCCAGTAATATCCTAATAACAAAACTCTTAACACTGATAGTAAAAATGCGGGAGAGAAGAAAAATGAACCATTCCGAAACAATATATAAATGGTTAACACTTTAGGACAAACTTGAAAACTGAACCAAAGTTAGAAGACCAAGGAAGAGAAGGCTGAGACAAACTCCCAATGAGTTCTTGATTCCATTCATTATATAAATGAAAGAAGTAGTTGAAAACCATTCAAGGATATTAAAAAAGTTAACTACATGGAATCAAATCCGCATCGTGAAAAGGACATGCTTCTAATTATCCACATGTTATATATATTCAGATATTGGCAATGTCTGAAGAGTGTGGACATTAAAACGAAGCCATTATACAGGCAGAATCTTTACAAAAAATTTTACAACAATTTTTTAGAAATCTAGGTAAATAACACGAGAATACTATAAAGCTACAACAATATACTAAAAACAATCATTAATATGGATTGCATCAAAATAAGAAAATAAAAATATATTTTAATACAAGTGGGAGATTCAGAACCTAGATTTCAATAGAGATAGGACAGAGAAGGCCTCAGAGAATTTGGTACCTTTATTATACCATGATAAGTCAAATTGATTTGTTAAAAGAAAGCTTGCATATCATCAATCAGTTAGTTCCAACTTGTCATACCATTCAAAGGAAATCGACATCAGCACCGTGAACATAGTCATTGATTATAAGCTAATGAAAATCAAAGATGACAGAAACCCACTAAAGGTAAAGCAGTATTAGATTATTAGAACAAGTAACAAACAGAAAAATACATATTGAACTTGTCTTTCACTAATGACTTAGCATTAAGCTTCAAGTTTAGTTTCAGATTTCTCTTTAATCCAAATATTAAATAATACCTTACAAAATAATAAATGAACACGAAGACAAACAATTAGCTGAATATACCCATAATATATATATGCTTTCAAAATGGCAAGTTTTGAAGGTTAATTCATGATGTAAATAATATTTTCTTTATCATGCACATTCTTGAATCTGTTCATATTTGAAACTATAATCATGTGACTTATTGGCTTTATATCAACAAAAAATAAAAGGAAATTCCAAATAAGTAAATAAAAGATATAGACACTGGAATGACAATTTCCATATAAATTTTTTTTTTCCTTTTACAGGAATATTAGCAATCAAAGAATGTCCCCATATTCAATTTGCAATAAACTCTCTTCACAAACCAGAGAAATGGGAGTTGAGCATAAAAAGAAGTGAATAAGGTTTGCCTTATGAGAGTCCATTGTCCCCAGTAAGACATGATAAAAAATTAGGATGAATAAGCTCAAACAATGAAGAATTTTCCGGCCCCAAAGGTTGGTAAAGCAAAAGGCAGAAAGACCTGCATTCTGGCTTTAAGATCAACACTTTGATACTAGTTTCCATCCATCCCTCAACATCTAGGAAGCACAAACACTTCAAAATAGTCGCCACCCATGTAAAACATGTTCTGAGTTAGACATGGACAATTCAGATACTCTTAACTAAATTTTTGCAATTATTTTATTATTAATTCTTAGAAATTTTATACAAACATAAATGGAAAAGTAGAATAATTAGATAAATGATAATACTTAATTAACTAATGCTAAATTTTGAAACATTGATTCTATCTTTTAATTAAAGATTTTTATTATTATACAAATTTTAATGTTGTAGTGTACAACAGCCATATCATGCCCTATAATTTCTAAATTTTTCCATATTCCTGTGTCCGTGTCATATCCATGTCTTGCGACATTCTCCGTGCTTCCTAGCTCAACATTAGGACCGTGAAGGAAGACAATCAACTCCTGGTTATCAGACAGCTTCACTGTCAGCAAACCCACGAGTTTGCATCCAAATAAAGCATTATCCAGCACCACACCAATCCCCGTGATAAGTTGTTGCATTATTGGATAAACCAACTTTTGGCAGAACAAGAAAACTCACCAGCATAAAAGGCAGTTAATAACAAATCAGAGTTAATGAACAGCAGTCTCCATTAATGACATGCACTATTGGTCCAACATTGCAGTCTGCATAGTGCATACGAATGTGCAGTGAATTCTTTATGAAAACTGTTACTGCTACTGTCATTACAAGGCCCCGGTAAATAACACCACCTCACAATAGTTAACAAAAATGTCAAATTCAAAATTAAGAGAACAAGAAGAATTGACTAGAGGCATTTACAAGTCACAAGGAGTAAAAAATTTGAGAAAATCTGAATATTATTGCTTGAATGATCATGTACATATGTTTACAATATATGGATTAATGTGAAAGATTGTTTTCCTAATAAAGAGTAATCCTCCGCTTGGTGTAACTTTAAGATGCTAGAGGATTTTGTCCACAATATGCAAGTATCTCTTCCTCGGGTCATGCATGAACTGACTGACAACACTGACCGCATATGTTAAATCTGGTCTAGTATAAGTCAAATATATCAATCTTCCTAACAGACTTCGATCCTGCCCTCTATAAACCTTGGGACTCTCCTCTTCAGTTACCATTTAGTGGTTATGCTCAATGAGGACATCACTAGCTTTACAGCCAAGTTCTCTAACTTCATTAAGGAGATAAAGAACATACTTTGTTTGAGAGATAAAAAATAACTCTTTTGGAGTAGGCAACCTCTATCCCAAAAAAGTATCTCAACTTCCAAAGGTCTTTAATTTCGAATCCAGAATCAATCTTTACAATCATATCTGTTTCTCAACTAGATCCTCCCTTGTTACAGTGATGTCACCTACATAGACAAGAAGAATAGTGAGTTTTCCCTCTTGCGAATGTTTGAAGATGAGGGTGTGGTTTCCCTGACTCTGCTCGTATCCTAAGGACAACATAACCTTTGTAAACCTTCCAACCATGCATGGGAAGATTGCATCAGCCCATATAGGGCATTCTATAACCTGCATACTTTATTTTCTCCATCTTCGGAATCGAATCCCAGTGGAATCCCCATGTAAACCTCCTCTTCCAATTCGTCATGGAGAAAAGCATTCTTTCCAATTTGCTTTCCATCAAATTGGTTCAATTCCAAATCTGAGCAGGCCACAAGAGATCGTAGGACTCTAACAATGTTCATTTTGGCCACTGTAGTAAATATTTTCTTATAGTCAATGCTATATGTCTAGGTGTATCCTTTGGCAACTAACTTTGTAGTATACCTATCAAGTGTATCATCAGACTGATACTTCAAAGTATAGATCCATCTGCACCCTACTGCTTTATTTCCTCTTGGTTTATCTCCACAACTTCCAATGTCATATTCTTTCCAAGTCACTCATCTCTTCATACATAGCTTAAACCCATTTCTCATCTTTTAATGCTTCTTGAATTGATGTTGGAATTCTAATAAAATCAAGGGCAAAAGTACAACTCTTGTGTTGCATGGAAAAGTTTGTGGAAGAAACAAATTAAGAGGTAGGATAAAGGTTATAGGACATTTTCCTTTTCCTTAAGGCAATAGGCAAGTCATTAGAATCAATATTATAATCATTAAAAGAAATATTTATAGTGTTGGACTCAAAAACAGAGGAAATATTGTCTTCGGTGCTTACCATGGGTTCGGATATCGGCTCTTGTTGTTGAGTTAGTTTGACAATCTCCTCCTTTGATACACCAATTAGGGTGTACCCACCTTCAATTGATTGATAATAGATGTTTCAGGTGAGGTACCAGATAGAGTTGATAATTCCTACTCATCATGAAGCTACACATACTTCAAGGCTAACTAAGGCATAGGCATGGGAACGTAGTACTCGTACAAAACTTCTGGAATGCTCTTCCCAAAGTTGAAAATGAAGGAAGGACTTATTTTCATGAAAAGTAACATCAATGGAAACAAAAAAGGTGACTCAGAGGATGTTAGCATTTGTATAATTGTATCCCTTTTATTCAATGGCAATGAAGGCACAAGACTTCAAGAGACAATGGATCTTCAAACACAATGAAGGTGCAGACAGAAGGTCCCAAATAAATACAGCAGCTGGAATAAGGCAGACTTAGGGTTTTGCAGAAGAACTCTGATACCAAGATGAAATATAAGGAAATCTGAATATTATTGCTTGAATAATCATATGTTTATAATATATAGATTAATGTGAATAAATATTTTCCTAATAAAGAGCTAATTCCAGGACAACAAAATAGGAGTAAATCAGACCTAGAATCTGTCATATATTTACCCTATAGTCTGTCATATCATAGTCTGTGTAATAAAGGAAAAAACAAATCTATAATAATTATACAATCATACATTCTTTATTTATAACACAAGGAAAATACTATCAAGGTTTACAAACATCTATATCTCAGCACCTCAGACTCAGAGCCCCTTTTAAAAGCATAACAATGAAATATGTAAAGTTCCACATCCCTCCCTAGATTGCTTGTAACAGACCACACCAACATCTTGCTTCACAGAAGACATATCTATTGCCACAATATCCTCAGCATAATTGCAACGCAATTTCATACCAAACAAGCACCCAGTCCCAGAAGATGGATGAACTTGATCTAAAGGCCACATTCTAGTTGAATAAAGCCTACATGATTCCTCCAATTAACAGAGGATCTTTGGTACCATATACTTTCTTCTTCCTATATGACAGTTGGCTTATAACAATCCATAATGGCGGCTTAACATCATGCTCTAATAAATCCTGATAAAACAGAATGGGTCAAAGTCATCAGTTCTACAGTCACCCCATTAACCCAAGATTCAAAAGTCCTTGCAGCATTATCTGTGATTCAAATTATGTAATCGAAGAAACCAAATGAAGAAATTCACCCACTTCCATAACCTGTACAAAGCAAATGCCAAGGCAACACCAGTTCTCACCAGTATAATAATAATAATAATCACAATAGTTGTTTATCATTATAATATGAACCCAAATGTATAAGGGATCAAATAACTAATTTTTTTTGAAAAGATGCATGAAGGGTAAATTGCTAAAGATGAGTGGGGAAGAGAGAGAATGAAGGAGAATGTCCAAGGCTAGAGCTCACCAGCACATGCGGAAGCAAGCATAACAGCACCAAAAATCCTGCATAATAAAAAACATCTAAGCCTAATTGATTCTAAGGAAACCTAAACAAAACCAGGACTAACAATATCTGCCAGAGCAACAAATATACAAAATCATAATGCTTGATAAACATTTAGCATTGAAGACAAGTTTAATTACAAAGCCAAATATTCCAATATACACCACAAAAAGACAGCAGGAGATGAGTAAAAGTTAATAAGATAGATCAGGAGAAATTTTGCCTTCTATTCACAAGGGCAGCAAAGAGATCCAAAGTCCAAACTAGTTGTTAGGATATCAACTATATACTAAAAAAATTTATATTCAATAGTATTAACAATAAGAAGTTCGACAATAATTCATTGTTCTTCATATCTGCTACAAAAAGATATTAAGCGAGAAAGCATTATGTGAAGCCTATCCACCAAACATCAAAAGCAAACACAAAAACGGTGAGTTATAGACTTACAGTACTTCTTTTTTTATTAGAAGAAGACTTATAGTTCTTCAAATCATGAATAAATAACTAAATGTAATTGCCCGGGAAAATATCAAGGATTCAAAGATGACATTGTGCTTTCTATTACCACACAGAAAGGGGGATGACAATGACAAACAGAACTAAATCTAAGACCTTACGAGAGATCCCAATTCACATGATTTCTGAAAACAAGGAGAATGGAGAACTCCACACAGAAAGGGGACACGGTTGTAAAAACAAACGTCCGCTACACCACATTTGATTGGGTTTTCCCTAACTTTGATAATTATTAAAAAAAAAAACAAAGTATATGCTATCTTGTTAAGATGAACCACGTGATTTGATGGTGATTTTCACCGTTTCTCCTAGACATTTTTCTATTTCGCAAACTAGAGAACAGGAGAACACAAACTAACAGAACCAAAAACCAATCTCATAAGCCACATAATTTCCAAGATGAAATCCAAAATTCAACCAAACAAACAATCTGGAAATCAGAGAGTCATAAACGAGGAAATTAATTGTACCATCAAAATTGCAATAAAGACAGAGAGAATTTTCTCTTCTCTCGCTTAAAACGAAAAAAATAACTACAAACGCTCCTCGGAGAGAGCGATGATGCGTCAGAAATAATCAACGAGAAGATCAGAACAAAGGAAACTCGAAACTGATCAAGTGAGCGATTGTGGCTATGGGAAGCTAAATGAAATCAACAAAAACAGAGAGAAACAGTTCGATCGTCTATGATGATGCATATAATTATAATCAAAACATATTTAGAAACATAACATGGAATCGACCAGATAAACGTGCCTTTGGAATCCGTTGATGTCCGGTGCCGGTTGAGCTACGATCTCTCTTACGCAGAAAAGAGCAATAGAAAGTAGAGAGAGAGA